TTCTCATTTTTATTTACTTAAAGCCAATCTAAATCTTGTTTGCATATTATCTTATCACCTATTTTCTCTTTGGTTAGTAAGCTATCTGTATAAAAAATTAAGAATTTTTTTTTATTTCTATATTTTTTTCTAATTGTTCTAATATAACCTTTTTATATTGTAAACTAAATCTCTGTTATTTAACTAAATCTACTTCTAATCTATCTATGTATATTGTATCTGCCAGACTTGCTTGAGACAAGTTATATATCTTTTCTAATTATAAGCTATCTATCTATCTTAATTTTTTTTTTCTCTTTTTAATTTCTTTTAAAATACTTTGTAATATATTTATAGTTTAGCTTTTTCCTTGTTTTTTGACTTTTTGTAGTATTGTAATATCTGCTTTTTTTTAGATTCATTTATTTTAAGAAATATCTTTATTTAATTCTTTATTCCTAGCTAACATAGCTTTACTTTTGCTTCTTTGCTAATAGAGCATCTTTCTACTTAAATTTTACTTTTTTTCTTCTCTTTTGTTCTTTGTATATTATTTTATTTTTTTTATTGTTTATTAAAACCTAGTTATACTTTTTTTTGTTTTTTAATATTTTTGTTTTCTCTGTTATTAGAGCCAAGTTATTTATAAACTTTACATGAAATTCTTGTCCAAGTCTTCTCATATTTCTATTTTCTAGAATATAATTTTCTAATCTTTTAAATCAAAATTGAACTTTATCTTTACATGACTTGTTTTTAACTTGCTTAAAATATTGTTATGTAATTATTGCACAAAAAAATTCTGTGCCAGGTTTTGTCGATCATTAATCATGTGGGTACACAATACGTATTTGTGTAACTATTCTATGCATATTCAATTATCAATTAATACATATAACAATATATACGTATATAATATACAGTATATATGTGTAAAGTAAAATATATTTGTTTTATTGCTATATATACCAATACTTCTATTTCGTCTTTACTATCTCTAGCATTAATGTTATCAATATCTTTAAATTTAGGGAATTGCTATTCATACCTCCCTAATTTGCTGCTATTCATACCCTCCATACATATTAAAGTTTTGTCGAACTTTGTGTGAAGATATCTTGACAACCACCAAATCAAATTCGATAAACTTTTTTATTTGAATTCTATGCATTCGTAGAATTCAAATAAAAAAAAAGTTCATTGAATTTGCCAGGTGATTGCCAAGATATCTTCACCCAAAGTCTTAAAAAAAACTCAAAACGTCTATCAAAACTCTTTATTCTTTGAGTGAAGATATCTCGACACTCACCAAGCCAAATCCGATGAACTTTTTTTTATCTGAATTCTAAGAATCTGTAGAATTCAAATAAAAGAAGTTTATTGAATTTGACTTGCGATTGTCAGGATATTTTCGTTCGAATTTTTAAAAAACTCAACGCCTATAAAAGTAGAAGCTGCGCCAAAATTTTCCCAATGTTTGAACGAAGGTATCTTAACAACCACTGGGTCAAAATTCGATAAACTTTTTTTTATTTGAATCCTACAGATTCGTAAAATTTAAATAAAAAAAAATTCATCAAATTTTGGCTTGATAGTTACTGAGATATCTTCGCTCAAAAATAAAAAAATTTGAATGTATCACTTAATTTCACTTATTATAACTCTGATTTAGCACTATCATTCTAGCCGAAATAGATTATATGAATATCGAAGTAATTTTGAGAGGAAATTTAATATAGGTACGAGAACAACTAATATATTTATGTTGGATAATGCTAGCAAATAAAATTGATAAATCTAATCGTATAATCATGATATTTCTAAGTCTGTTCTTTTAAATCTTATATTTTATTTCTTTTATTAATTCTAAGAGTATTCGATTTCACACTATCTCATTTCTTATATTAATTTTTCATTTAACCTTTTAGCAGCTTTAAATTTAGGGAATTGCTATTAGTACCCCCAATTTGCTATTCATACCCCCATGAAAATTAAAGTTTTTTTTGAACTTTGAGCGAAGATATCTCAACAACCACCAAGTCAAATTTGATAAACTTTTTTTTATTTAAATTCTATTCATTCGTAAATTCAAATAAAAAAAAAAGTCATTGAAATATGCCTGGTGGTTGCTGAGATATCTTCGCTCAAAGTCTTAAAAAACTTAAAATGTCTATTAAATCAATTTTTTTTATTCTTTGAGCGAAGATATCTCGACGCTCACCAAGCCAAATTCAATGATCTATTTTTTAACTGAATTCTAAGAATCTGTAGAATTCAAATAAAAAAAGTTTATTGAAATTGGTTTGGCAATTGTCAAGATATCTTTGTTCGAATTTTTAAAAAAACTCAACACCTATAAATAGAAGCTGCGCCATTCTCTAATGTCTAGTATCGAGTATCTTATCAAAATATTCAAGTTTGCATTTCAAGTCCTACCAATTTACTTGGTTTGATTTGCTTTGCAATTATTTAGTGCAAGATTGTTTAGTATGAAATTATTGTTAGCTCTTTCTAACTTTGTTATCAAATTATGCAAAAAAAAATCACATGCTGAAATTATATTTACTACGCCATACTCAAGAGTTTCTTGAACAATTACTGGATCGGGTCAGGAGTACTGTGATCAGTAATTGTTAATATTTCCTTTTTGAGTTATAAATGTAATTTAAAATTTCCTTTTGAGTTTATAAATGTATGAGTGAGTGAATCAAAGTTAAATTAAATACTGAAACAAATATGTATATACTGATTACTTAAATATGATGTAATAATGTGATTGCAATAAATAGAGATCTGTAGTTAAGAAAAAAAAGTCAGTTTCATTATTTCAGTGTGCAATTATTCAACTATAGTTGATAAACTAAAAGGTATATACTTATCTATAGCGACAGTGTTGTCAGGAAAGTTATTAATTTTTCAGAGTATAATACTTATTAGGTTATTTTATAATTATCAAAGCTCTTTTGATAATGGAGCCATCTCTTAATACCGAAATACCAAGTAGTGCCTTAGAGCCATTGGAACCATTACCTGAAAATGCTGCATCTATACTTCCTCCAAATTATAATTACATACTTTCAGAAATTAAACAACTTCCCAATTATATTACGGCTGAAGAATTTTTAGTTCATCAATTTGAAGCAAAGCTTTTTGTAAATATTAACAATGTTGAAAGTATACGGGAGTGGTTTTCTGAGTTTGAAGAGATATCAAAGACGACAATGCCTGAAACAAAAGGTTTTTAAAATAAAGGAAAGAAGGTTATTTTTAGAGAATTAAGGCATTGTATACATAGTAGTAAAGTGAGACAGAAGCAGAGAAATTCTCCATTAAAAAAGCTACATTCGTTACAAGTTAGAAACACAGAGTGTATGGCTACGATTCACCTTCGGCTTGAACATTGGCGTCTCTATACCACTCATCCACTTGAGGTTGACATCAAATTTGTGCATAATCATATTATCCATTCTGCTGAGTCACTTAGCTTTTGGCACGTTAAAGATGATATTCGTAATCAATATCTTGAACTTTTTGCGAATGGTCATTCACCTGCAACTGCTTTACGAATTTTTGAGGATAACCTTTACTTACGTGCAGATAATGAACAAGAACTTATACAATTATTGGCAGATCGTGCACAAAACCCAGACTATGGGTATGTTTTACATCTATTTGAACAATATCGTAACAAGCATCTTGGAGGACAAAATGGTGCATTAATGTTTGAACATCTTAGAGAAGAAGTTAATCATTATAATAACTCAGGAAAAGGCCGTGCTGTACTTCAAGAATATAATTCACTATCAGGAAAGGCTTATATACTTTGTGTAGTTACAAATTTGATGAGCCATGTCCATGAAAAAATTTATCAAGCAAGTGAACTCTGCTATGTTGATGCATCTGCATCTTTTGAGCCATTAAATACATCTATAACTTTATTTTATACAAGTTGCATCGCTGGCGCATTACCTCTTGGGCTCATGATAACATCTGATGAATTAAAAATAACTCTTGAAAAAGGGATGAATCTTTTGAAAGGAATTCTTCCACAATTTGCTTTTTTTGGTCGTGGTCCTGATATTAGCCCAGTAGTTTTTCTTACTGATGATTCAAGTGCTGAGCGAAATGCATTAGAGCATTGTTGGTCACAACCCAAATGATTATTATGTATCTTTCATATTCTCCAAGCTTTTTGGCGTTGGTTACATAATATAAAGCATAACATAAACAAGGAACATAAAGGACCTATAATGAAAGATATGAGGCAGATATTATATGCACAAACGGAAGCTGAAATGACAGATTATTATTATAAGTTTAAAACTAATTATTATAATATATATCCACAATTAGAAAGACATGTCGAATTGCTTTGGAAAAGGCAGCAATATTGGGCTTTATCATTATGTTCTGGACTTCCTTTACGTGGAAATCATACTAACAATTATGTAGAACGCAGTTTTGGTCTATTGAAAGACATTATATTTGCACGCACTCAGGCGTATAATTGTGTTCAAGTGTTTCAATTTGTTATTACAGTTATGGAACGCTTCTATGAACTTTGATTACTTGGTATAGCCCATTGTCATCTCCAAATTGCCAAGAGGTTTTTATGTCCTGGCTGGGATGCTATTAATGCAGAAGAGATTCGACAAACTGAACTATCTACAGAGTATTTAGTTCCAAGTCAAAAGGATAACAACATAGTTTACGTAGTAAACACTGAACTTTGTACGTGTACATGTTATGTCAGGTTATCTGGAGCACTATGCAAACACCAAGGAGCAGTAGCTGTAAAATATCGTATTGGGTCACTGAACTTTTTTCAGTCATTAGCAGCTAATGATCGTGCATGTTTCACATATATTGCACGTGGTAAGGGTTAATAATTTAAGCTAATCTCCAAAACATTCAATAACCTTATTCAATTATTTTAAGGTCTTAAAGCGGATAATTCTTTTTATGCATCACTACATAATACTCAATATAAATATCATGAAGTTAATAACGTTAAAAATAACATGCTTCAAGAAACTAGCAATAATGCTCAAGATTTACCAAAACTCGATATAGACGAAGTTGCTGTGATAGAGTATGTACAGTACATTCATTTTATATACTTATTTTTGTAAGTTTTTAAAAATTATTTATTTTTAGAAATAATCCGATTCTTTTTGAGTCATTTGTTGAAGCAATCAAGCATGATTATGAAAATGGTGGGCCACAACTTCAAACTGCACTTGAAAAGTTTGCTGAACGATACAACACAGCAAAGGCTAAATTCATTCTAGCCTTAACAACATTTTTATATAACGTTAATCACAATACTGATCCACTTGTTCGTATGAGAAGTGGAACCAAAATTCGTGTGCAAGTTGAATCAGTAAAGCGCAGAAAACTTGTTGATAATAAAGAGAACAGCGATCCTCATATAATTCTAGCACGTAAGGTTCGGGCAGTTGGTAAAAAAGGGCATAGACTTAGCGAAAATACTAAGTCGAATTAATCACTTTTTTATATAATTAGTATGCTATTTTCATATATTAAGTACATAGTATAAATAAGTGAATTGTTATGAGAGTTACATTTAGAAGTTACGCAAGCATATTTCATGTGGCGGTAAAGCTATAAAGCACTTTATAATAGATAGTCTTGATAGCAAGTGTATCAATTTTACTCTCAATACGTATAAATATAATATTGCTTAAAAGTATGTTTTTAAAAAAAATCTACTTATTTATTGTATTGGGCAGTTTATCGTATAAGCGATCGAAATTAAATAAGTTGAGTCAAATAATTGAAAAAAAAAGACAATGTAATTTAATATTAATTAAAGTAAGATGAAATTAGAAAATAACTTGGCATATTTAAATAAGATACTATATTAGATATTAGCTTATTAATAAATAAGACAAATACGTAGAGATCTAGTTAAAGAACAGCATAACTTAATTTAGTACTAATAAAATTTTGGTTTATATAATAGAACTATGGATTGGGGCAAAAC